GTGTGTGTGTGGTGGTGTGTGTGTGTGTGTGTGTGTGTGTGTGTGTGTGTGTGTGTGTGTGTGAGATGTGTGTGTGAGCATGTGTGTGTGAGCATGTGTGTGTGAGCATGTGTTGTGAGCATGTGTGTGTGAGCAGTGTGTGTGAGCATGTGTGTGAACATGTGTGTGAACATGTGTGTGTGTGTGTGTGTGTGTGTGTGTGTGTGTGTGTGTGTGTGTGTGTGTGTGTGTGTGTGCATGAGCATGTGTGGGTACATATGTTTGTGTGTGCATGTGTGCATGACTGTGTGTGTGTGTTTGTACATGTGTATGGTGTGTGTGTTTGTACATGGGTGTGTGTGTATGGGTATGTGTGCATGCATGTGTATATGCGTGTTTGTATACATGGGTGTGTTTGTGTGCATGTGTGTCTGTGTGTGTATGTGAGCATTTGTGTGCATGTAAGCATGTGTGTATATGAGCATGTGTGTGTGTGCATGGGTGTGGGCATGGGTGAGTGAGTGTATGTGCATATATGTGAGTGCATAAATGTGTGTGTGCGTGCATGGGTGTGCGTGCATGGGTGTGTGCATGCATGGGTATGTGTATGCATGTATGGGTATTTGTATGCATGCATGGGTATGTGTATGCATGCATGGGTATGTGTGCATGCATACGTATGTACACGCATGGGTGTGTACGTGCATGGATGGATGGTGTGTGTATGGGTGTGTATGTGTGCACACACGTGTGTGTGTGAGTCTGCATGTGTAAGCATGTGTGTGTGCATGTGCATTTGTAGGTGTGTGCATTTGTATGTGTGTGCATGTGTATGGGTGTGTGCGTTGGTGTGCACACACGTGTGTGTGTGAGTGCTGCATGTGTAAGCATGTGTGTGTGTGTATGTGCATTTGTATGTGTGTGCATGTGTATGGGTGTGTGCGTTGGTGTGCACGTGTGTGTGCATGTGTGTGAGTGTGCGTGTGTGTGGGTGCATTCATGGGTATGTGTGCATAGGTGAGTGTGAACATGGCTGTGTGCATGCAAGGGTGTGTGTGTGCATGGGTGTGTGTGCGTGCATGGGTGTGTGCATGAATGAGTGTGTGCATGAATGGGTTGTGTGCACATGAATGGGTGTGTGTGAATGTGGTGTGTGTTCACAGGATAGGTATGGGTGCATGGGGTGTGTGGTGCATGAATGGGTGTCTGTGTGTGTGCATACATGGGTATGTATGTATGTATGTATGTATGTATGTATGTATGTGTGTGCATAAGTATGTGTACATGCATGGGTGTGTGTACATGCATGGGCGTGTGTACATGCATGGGCGTGTGTACATGCATAGGTGTGTGTGCACAAGAGTGTGCATGGGTGGGAGTGTACACATAGGCGTGTGTGAGTGCTGCATGTGTGAGCATGTGTGTGTGCACAAGTGTGTGTGAGTGCTGCATCTGTGAGCATGTGTGTGTGCACGAGTCTGTGTCAACGAGTATCTGTGTGCATGAGTGTGTGCACAAGTGTGTATGGATGTGTGTGTGTGGGTGTGTATGTGTGGGGGTGTGCACACAGGTGTGTGTGTGTGAGTGCTGCATGTGTGAGCATGTGTGTGCGTGTGCATTTGTATGTGTGTGTGCATGTGTGTGCGTGTGCATTTGTATGTGTGTGTGCATGTGTGTGCGTGTGCATTTGTATGTGAGTGTGCATTTGTATGTGAGTGTGCATGTGTATGCGTGTGTACGAGTGTGTGCATGTGTATGTGTGTGTACGAATGTGTGCATGGGTGTGTGTGCGTGTGTGCGCGTGTGTGCGTGTGTGTGTGTGTGTGTGTGTTGTGTGTGTGTGTGTGTGTGTGT